AAATATTGATCTTACTTTTAATTGCTTTCACATCTGTGGTCTTTTCTTGTTCTTTGCCTTTCACTGTAAAGTATAAAGGAAAACGTTAAGGCTATTTTGGGTGACTAATGGCATTTACACACGAATGAACATACAGTTGGAAGATGATTTTATTGAAAGTATTTTTTTTTTGATCTGACATCAAGTAATTGAAAGAATTTCAAGGTGTTTCTCGGCTTTTCAAAAGCAAAACTTTGTCATCTATATTCGCGGATTAAGTCTAAGAAACAGCTTGTTAATTTTGTAAAACATTCTCAAAGATGTTTGCTGTCCATATGGTTACACCAAGGCTACATTCAAGGTTACTTTAATAAATGCATGAAGCAGAAAGAATGGAATAGATGTGTTTTCAGAGCAAATGTATGTATGTTCTATGAACAACAAATCAAATGTCTAAGCAGAACATCTCCCTACTGTTACAGGCAAAGCAGTAGGACGTGCACAGTGGGAAGGATGTAAATGGAACAAGCTCCATAAAAGCAGTCACTGCTCTCACTCAGGAGCAGAAACCACAGTAAGTGCTTCGGAAATTCACCATAAATATTAATTCCCTCAAACATTATTGCCTAAATATCATCAAGCTTATGCCAAACAAGTGATGGGAACACAGCAGTTAAAAGAAAATAGTAGTTAAAAGTGGTTTTTGTTTTTAAGGAAGATTTTAAACAGATAAGACAATATATTATAAAACAAACAAACAAAAAAGTCAAGAAACTGAACAAGTACATAAACATGATGGCATGGCAAGCAATAAATACATCAGTGGTATTTAACTATGCAACCTGCTAGTGAAACCATCTATGGCTGCTATAGGCTGGCATTATTACTACAAATAGGTCATCTTTGAACGTAGGTTTTTCAAGTCCTTCAAAATTTAGCCACAAACCATAGCTGGACTCAAACATTTACATTACAAAGCATGAACAGATTAAGAAAGAAAGCCCTTCTATTCTGACCTAAGCATTTCCCATATTTTAAAGGGAACTTCAATCTCTTGTTACATAATGGTCCTGCACAATCGTAGCTGCAGTATTATCACACTGCCAACCTTTCCTATGAGGACTCTAAGTGTTGCAGCTCTGTAAATCTGCAGCTCAGCATTTAGAAATTATGCTACTAGTTAACACATTCTCTTTGCAAAAGAAAGGTTTAAGTCAGTTCAACAACCTTTTTACATTTGTCTCTAGAAGTTCAGTTTAATCCGAAAGGTTTAAAAAATATTCAGGATAACCATATTTTTTTTTTCCTGCATATCAGTTATGTAAAAACACTGAAAAATCTGTATATATCTGAAATAATACTGAGGAAGAATGGAAATTACACAACCTATATTATGAACTCTTTTTCTAAAATATTCAAATAGTTGATCAAACTGACTCCCACCCAGCAGCAATAATTCCTGAGTTTCCAAACAACTCCATAAGTTTATTTTTAGTTTAAACATACTTGTTATTTCCTACAAGCTGCCCAGTTCTTCTCCACCTGATTACCAGCTTATTACCAGCAGTGTGCTGGTGCACAGTGCCAACCTCATTGATACATAAGCTTCTTGTGTCATTACTAGCCTCTAGCAGGACAGAATTAAAAATGAATGGCCAAAGACATAGGAAAACTGGCACATGCAACAAGAATGCCTTTTAGAAAGCAAATTATCTCTACAAGAATTTTGTTTCATTTTCCCCACAAAGCCAGATGTCATTTGCAACTGGTACATGATTATCAGGGACTAGTTTGTCAAAGTTTCTAGTAGCAAACTCTATTTGCAAAGGAAAAACACATGGAAAGGACTGAAGCCAACCACACAAGACTGGAGAATCATAACTCCCATTTTGAAACACAGAATGAACAAACCTAAACTGTCCATGTAGGTACTTACACAAAAAGGAGTAGACAATTTGACCGGTCAGCCAGCTAGCAGGGCCATGGACATCATTTCCAATGTATCCCTAATAAACGGGCTTCTAGTTTGAATGTTTTCACTGATAACAACTTCACCATCCGCCCTCAAGTCCCTGGCTGCTATTCCAAGTGTTATTATCAGTTACTTCACTATTATTTTTGAGATTTCTCTATATCAGTACTTTTATCCTTTGTTTGATTTCATTTAAAAAAAAAAAAAGCTTAATCTTTATCTAGTGTTGCATCCTCTTAATTATAATTCACCCAAGGATAGTAATGCTTTTTTATGTGGTTTTGGACTGTGTCTGGCTCAAGTTTTACATAACCCTTTCTATGCCTCATTTCTCCCATTTACAATTTAGATCACCTCTAGAAAACACTATCACTAATGGAAGTGCATGATACAATGTTATTTTAGGCACAACGCAAAGACTCACTCATCCCTTCTCCATAAGGGTGCCTCTCTCATGCATTTAGTTCTATCTGTGCTTCTCTGACCAAAGATCTTCTAAGCAAACTAATATAAACAAAGAGACTACCAGCTCCACAACTATGTTTGGCTGTGAAGCACTGGCAGCTGTTTTGAAGGGTTTAAAAGCTGCACAGAACTTGCATTCTGCAGCTCAGCATTAGTACGTAAACACCCCATAAAGGATTATGGCACTTGCAAAACCTTCAGTGGATTTCAAAGAGTTTTCAGCACTTCTCCTAATAAGAACAGAAGTTTAAACTCTTTTTTCCTCCCTCTTTCTCCCAGGACTACCGCACTAATCTCCCAAAAGAATGAGTTTTTAATGCCACTAGTTTGGCTATGAGAGCTTATAACAGAACATGTCAATCAACAGCAACAACCCAGGTTCAGATAACATATTTTTTCCCTCCTAACTTAATCTTATCTCCCAAGAAGTGCTGTTCAATAGCTCCTAAGAAGTTTGGGTTTCAATAGCTAAGAAGAGTTATAGATTTCCTAGAAGGGACAACTTCAACAGAAACACTCAAATACCTCATATCATGAACACAAAAGGCACATTATACTTCGATATTTTATCACACCTGTGTATTTTATCACAGGCTGCAGCACCAGAGCCTTTGGAATGTTTAACTCTCAGAGAATAGCTAGCCATGGCACCCGTAAGGATATTTTGAAATTTAAGGGTCTCGAAATGCCTAGAAATTGACTTGAGCTACATAACATACACAAATACATTGCGGGTAAATACACACACACACAAACCCACTTCTGTCAATGATTCCTTCCGCTTTTATGAAGGACTCTGCATTGGGAGGTTTCAGTTTTTGGTTGGGATTTTTAGCGACTGCTATAACGTATAAGGCAAATTATGATTTAAACCCTCCACCTCCCAAAATATACCAGTGTCGGAAAAAAAAAAAAAAAAAGTATTAGCTCAGTAAAAAGTGACCCGAAAGGCTCAGAACTGCACGGAGCAAGCGGCATTTTACACTAGCCCCGGGCGGCAGAGCGGCCCCCGCTTCACCCTGCCCGGCGACATTTCTGCCTTGAGGGAGCGCAGCGCCCAGAGTCTCCGCG